CATACTCATCGTTCGATCTCAACCAGGTGCACCTCCAGGAAAACCAGGATGGGATGTCGACCTGAGCTACTCTTTGCAGAGAAAGCCATCTGATTTACCGATTCTGAGCATTTGGCCACAAATGGTGTTGCCTTCCCGGTGCAAGTACCTTCCAGTTTGCGAACAAACTCAAAAAGCACACACAAATTGAAACATATCGAAAGGAAAACAGTGAGCAAAATAGCCACACAATGCAAGCCCAAACCCCAGCCAATGATTGGTCGTAAAATGTCGTAAATTGTTTTGGAGCTGACATCAGCACTGCGTGAACATTCTCATGTTTCACCCCTTGCAACAAGGGACATATTCGGCAGACCGCTGAAGCAGAAAGGGGAGAGTAAAAGCGCACGTGAATATCACTCTCATGGTAATTTGTTACTATGTCATACATTCAGCAAAATGACCGTCAGCATGTCAGCAACCTATCAACAAGATTCAGCAGCCCAGCATAGCTCAGCAAGGCCAAGTGCCCAAGTTGGATCTCCAGGCGCACTTTCGAAAACCATCAGCATCTTGTTGTTCGATTAAGGTCATGCCTTCACGGTCTAAGCCCTGAGACAGGGATGCAATGGGATGCGAGAAATGAGAACCACGAATGGCATTGTCAAACCATGCGTTTGCAAGTTCGTGCCACATCCGACATGAGCCCTTGAGACTTTGGAATTGCTGACATCACAGGAGAAACAAAGTAACCAAGATTAACCAAGTACTGTATGGGCACTCCGCACCTCAATTTTCGCATTGTCTGGATGTGGTCCATCACGGTAAGTCTTTGCTAAACCAGGCGAACCTTGAGAATAAGCTCTGCTCAATCTGAAGCTACAGCCTACAGCGAACATCCCATGACTCATGACATATGACAGAACCAGCGACATCAACCACTGAGAGGATGCACCCACGCGTGTGTAGCCGAACTGCGCACCCCAGTGACAAAAATCACTGGAGATGACCTTGGAGAAAGAACTTTGGCCAAAATGACTGGTGATTCAGACACCAAAAGCCCAAAAAAGATGCTGGTCACATGGCGTCATCCCATCAGGAATGGGCAACGAAGACAAATAAAACAGATGTTCAAATCCTCATACCAATGTTGATGAATGTAGTGATGAAATGCAAAACTGATAGTCCTAAGAGCTCAGAAACGCAGATGGCCGTTTGAACACATTTCACTACATTCCGTCCATTGAGCAGTACTCTGACTTGGCACAGTTGAAGTCTCTAGAAACACGACTCGATGGACTGAGCACCAAGCAAAAACAGTGCCTTCTCTCATCAGCAAGGGGGCAAGCAATCGACCATAATGGGCTTCACTCTTGGCATCAACCTGTCCCACCAGACAACCTTCCGCCGAAGCAATTCCTTGGGACATGAAAGTGATGAACGCCCTCTTCCATTTTTTTCCAATTATCTGCGTAAAAGGCTCTGCGCCCTCTTCCAGTAGCATTAAACAAAAAGTCCTGTTGCTGCTTTTTCTATCCCAAGGAAACAATGGAGATTCTAATCATATCAAACTTGTGAAAGATACTATACAGATCTATATAGTATAGTTATCACATGTTATCACCACCGTCCAGATTGAGTCAACTTCTCGCCTGTCCCACAAGCATCGGCACCAGTGTAGCGGCTGGCCTCTTTGGGCTGTGCCTTGAGATTTTGGCAGTCGACTGCTGATTTGATGTTCGGTGCATTTCGGTGCACGACTTGGGACCCAGCAAAAGTAGGGCTAAGAATGGAAGCCTCAGAGTTACAAAAAGTGAGCAAAGCATGGCAAGAATCGTCAAGGATAGAAAACTCGTGAAAAATCTGTCTCTTGTCCCTTTCGACTTAGAGGCATTTTTGTGCATGATGTACTGCAGGCTTTTATTGTGGGCTTTCAATGGCATTCGGAGCTCCAAGTTATAGTACCATATCAATTAATTTCAATTAATTAGAAGATTATAGAAGATTATACAAGTATATATAAGTTAGGTAGCTCCCACTCAAATCTTTGCCTTCAAATTCATACCGTTTTCTTTTCATCGAAGGACTCCGTTTTCTCGACCGAGCAGCTGCATCTCGATAGAATGCTCTGCCTCCAGGCCGAAAAGGACTCAATAAGCTTGCCGAAGCCTTCATGTACCACCCACATTGTATACATGGCCATACATGGCCGTACTTCAAGGGATTTCAGTGGCACAAGATATTGGCAAATTTATGAAAATTTCAGTCACCAACCTCTGCTCAACATATACGGAGGTGTCCTAAAATGGGGGAACCTCCAAGTTCCAAATTTTCATAGACGATTTTAGTATTGAAACCCATGGGTTTGGGATCCCCCTTGACTTCAGGAACACCCCATGCCTCATCTACATCCATCGGAAGAGCGCTGAACTGGTTGGTCTTTCGGAGCTCTGCCTGGACGACCAACACTGATCAACCATGACCATAACTGTGCAACGAAGCTCATGTGGAATGATGACATGACATATCAACACAAATCAGTGTCAAATCCCAAATTTATTCGAAACTGATACGTCTGCAGGGTATTCCCAGAAAACTAGAGGTACTTCTGCTGATTTTTTGTTGCGCATTCATCTGACAACAAAGCCCAAAGCACCAAGGTGTCTAAGTCCAGGGGAAGGTCACCCAGAGGAGTCCTGCACAAGGCATGCTTCGTGGCATATCGTGGCATATGGCAAGTGGAAATCGATGGAAATTGTGAAATGATGTGACAGAATCTGTGTGACATTCTCTTGACTCTCTTGAACTGATCAAATCTCATTTCCGATCTCCGACCCGATCTCCTGTACTTGGTAACCTCTTCTCCTGGTAGGGCACATCCCTCCAAATAGGCATGGTGCGAGGGTCTCAGCGAAGTAAAGCGATGTGAAGATCGCTGGCACTGCTCCAAAATTACATCGACCACAGTCCAACATTTCTGAAGAAAATGCCATAGACAATGCCATAGGAGTCTTACATACCGTAGTCTTACAATGTCTTACCGTACCTTACTATCCCATTGCAAATTGATTGCATGCTTCTGGACATATCATGGGCCACAGGCTCCGGGAGTCGAACATCGTCGCCGCTTCTGTGGTCCCCCACCCAATGAGCACCACCTGTTTCACTGTGGCTGGATCCAGGCGCGCAAAAACACCTGCTGCGACCTCAGCCGTGCAGTGGTTGATGCAGTGGCTGATGCAGTGGCTGATGCAGTGGTTGATGTTGGCTGCCAGCATCGCTTGCTGTCTCGGCTTCTGGCTGATCCAGAATATCTCAAACCTGGAGCCAGCGAACCCCAACCCTCCGAAATCGTCCAAACTTGTGTGAGTCTTCAAGTGGCCAGCATTGCACACGAAACATATTAATGACATATCTGGAAATTGGAAGTTACCTTTCAGGAGACATGATCCGGAGAGTATCAAGTATCAAGCATGGTTGGTTTCAATGCACTTAAGCGGAGACCTTTCAGGTTCACCTGAAATTCTCATAAATTCTCTAGAGCATCGAGCTGACAATTGCAATAAGAGCCACCCATTCAACCCCCGCGCCTGCATGTGGAGATATTACTGCCTTCAACTTCGGGTCTGCCATTGCGCCCTCTGCATACTCTGTCCCTGCCATTTCAAAGCACGTCATGGCAACTTTGGATCCAAATATCTAGTGATATGCACTGAGGGCAACTATTCATCCCATCACCAAATCAGTGTGTCTGGAAATGGTGGTATACGGGTATACCCTGCACAATGGCAATGTTCTAATCGGAAAATGATGATCAACCAGTGGATTAAGATGGATTTAAGATGGATTTAGGGGTACCAAATGTTCAAACAAAGCCAACTCTTGCGCATTCGTCTCATGTCTGGAGAACTAACAACTGCTCCAACTGCTGGACACTTCTACTGGCCTAACATCTGCTGCAGCTCATCCCTGAGAAGGTCAGGATCACCCTGCAGGCGCTGGCGCAAAACCTTTTGAACAACAAAATGGACAGCTACAACTAGATATATCTATATATTCATAAATATTATAAAGCAGCTCCATCTCTCGATTTTCCGTCTCCACTGCAGTCAAGTAATACGTTCTCAAGGATGCAATGTGTGGTCGCTGTCTCTTCCCATTGCTTTCACAGCTGCATCAGTGCCTCATACCACGAGCCGGCGTGTGTTGGCCGGCGCACACCACGGAGACCTGGACGGCCTCTGCGGCTCCGATGGTGTCTGAAAATGGAAGGACACCCATCAGAATGGCCCAATGGCCATCTTTGATTCAGAAAAGAATGAATAAGAGTGATAAACCATCAATTTTTTTGGGGGGAATAGCCTATTTTAAGACAAAAACCCATGGCTTTCATCTCTTTCTTCCCATGCCAGTGATATGTCCAAGGTCCTCACTGGATCCCATGAATTCCCTGAGACCAGGGAGCAGCCAAAAGGCACTGGAAGAATCAGGGATCGACTCCACGCGTCCGTGGAAGTTCTGTCAGAAAAAAGCACCGCAGCCTTCTTGGAATTTGAAGTAAACAATACAATAACGATACAATAACGTAATATGTATTACTGTAACTGTACAAGGTGAAGACTCAAGCAATATTGATGAGCTCAGACTTCCTCCACATTTGTATATACATGTCTCATTGAATTTCTTGGCTCGAACTTCAAACAGCCAGGCTAGCGATTGCGAACTGGGGCGTGTTGTGTGGTCAAACGACGTTGGAGTATCACATACCAGCTCTTCAAACCTCGAGAAGCAGAGCTCAAGGTTGGCCGTATACTGTATACTTTCTTGGTATGTTGGAACAAAGGACTTCAGCGCAAATCTCTTAAGAGAAGACTGGCAAATCGGAAGAATCCACAAAAGTCATCACCGAGATTCCAATTTCATGGCCTAGTTTGCAAGAATGTGTATGTGTGTGTATGTGGTTGTGTCATGCTACAGTAGACTGTGCTGATACCCTGGGCTTGTTTTCAATCTTTGTCATCCTTGACAGCAATGCTTCAGGGCCCATGCCATCTCGTGCATATCTTCACATCTTTTTGCTGGAGAGTCTCCATTGACGCCATTTGAAGGTGGTGAAACTTTTCCTCTGGAGCACCACAACGACTTGGCTCTCCACACACATCAGGCAGCAAGGAGCAGGCAAGCAGAACTACGGAATCTCTTTGGCCCTTGTGCTGCAACATATCAGGCCGATCGTGTCACATAAGGTGCATGAGCACTAGGATAGTCTGGCAGGGAGCCATAACCACCATGCCACTTCCTTGCGAACGCGGTGCGATCGCTGCCAAGGTGTCTGAGTCTAGGTTCAGTCTCTGAGTGTCGTTTACAGTGACATGCAATCTTGAAATCTTTGCCACTCCAGTCTGATCAGTAAGCACACAATCAGCGAAAAGAAACAAGAAAACATGAAATACACGGCCTGGGCCGAATATCCCTGTCAAAATCGCTTGCTGTCAAGAGGCCCACCCCATGCGTTCAGTGGCTCGTCATCTGAGGCAAAGGATAAAGGATTCTATCAAGTCATCCAAGATTGAACAGTGCGGCTATGAATCGGAACTGAACCAGTGAAGCTACTGAATTGAAGGAGTCAGGCATCAATTGCGCCACATCAAATGCTTGAAAACACAAATACGTTTGAGAAGGCAGTGGCCAATGGATGCTCCAATATCTCCAACTGTCAGAGTTCACCCCTGGGAATCAGACCCTTCTTGAGCGGCTCATTACCCTCTGCCATGAACTGCATCGCCTCATGGCGTACCAATCGAATATGATTTTCCACAACGGGTGACCCAGTGACCCCTATTGACCCCTCTACAAATCAACTGCGATCTGTGCTTCAATTCTTGTTGGTTGATGGCGGATAGTCATCCAAATTTCTATTTGTTGAGCTCCCCACTCTACGGGGTTTGTCGCCAAATTGGCAGCCACCCATTCCATCTCCAGGGTCTTAAACCATTTTTGTAATGGCCAAACCGTTGCGGAATTCCTCCCAATTTTGGGAAAACCATTCTCATGTTCCCCATTCTATTCCGATTGTTTCCTCAAAGTTTTGGGGGCCCATCCCCAGTTCGAAACCATAAAAACCATGAGTTGGTTGGTTTCCATACCTGGTATACCTCATCTATCCTCATCGGCCGCGAAGTCCGATGCGCCTCGCTGCGCCTCTTCTTACGCAGGCGACCATAGGAGTCCAAGCTCCAGAGCAAGCCGAGGGCGGTGAAGAGCAGCACTACGATCCTCGAAAGGAAAAGGATGGAAAAAATGGTGGTGTCCCTGATCCTCCTGGTGCCACTTGATGATGCACTAATGATGTTGTTAATAGCCAGAAACAATATGCTTGTCATTCTTTCTAATCATATATTATTATTATCATTATTATTATCATTATTGTTATTATTATTATCATTATTATTATTCTTGTTATATTATTGTATTATTATATCATAATTATATCATATTCTTACGGTATCTTGAGGTCATGGTTGCTCCGTCTCTCCAAGTCATCAGTGATCACCAGTACCAGCGGGATATGCCGAGAGACGACATGAAAAGCCAATGAGGCAAATCAGCAGCGACCTGGCACCGTGCCACTGCGCCGGAAAAGACCATGGAACAACTTGTCGTAGACCATGGAACTGTGAAGGATGTCACAATGTCACAATGTCACAATGTGCTGTTTTTGTAATTGAGGAGGTTTGCTATTTGATCTGCAATGCTTCAGATCCTGTGAATGTTTTTCTTAGTGTTGGCAAAACCACTGAACATCAAAAACTTCTCTTTGTTCTAAGATACCTCTTCTTCGGACCAAATCAAGAAGCAGTTGTGAACAGACTGAAACTGGAATAGGTAACTGAAATCAAGAAGAAAGTCTTTGCAACATGCTTCTATGGTCTGAAAAACACAGGATCAAACAATCAGCACGGCGCGCTCACTGGCCTTGTAATTCAAGGCGTAAGTGGGTGCTGCGCCTATTCGCACCTCAAAGGAAACAAGGAAGAGAGGGGGCGACGTTTCAAAGGAAGCACTGGGAGATTCTGCAAGCATCTCCACCACAAACACCGCGAAACAGTGAAACCTCTGAAACAACAGCACTAGTTTACTCATGGGACACCTTCAACCTAATGCAAATTCCATCCAGCTCGGATCTCTCGGTCTCCCCAGTTACCTGTCCATTCCCGTGCTGCTGTGTCACTAAATCATAGATCCACCAGAAGCCCAAACCACCCAGTGTCACCTGAGTTGTTTCCATCAGTGACATCAGGCAGCCGTTCAGCCCTTGAGCATCTTGGCTATTGCCTTTCCATAAAGAATTTTCCAGACAAGTTGCCAGCTTGGCAAGCCTGAGTGCACATGCAGTCGCAGAGTCAACAATCCAAGCTTCTCTGCCTTGTAACAACACAAGAAAAGAACGATGCTGACAAGCAGCCCAGTGTAGAAGAAGCCCAGGTAGAAGCGATCTAGTCCAAAGATGCCAAAGAAAAGGCTGATCAGGAAGGCCTATGCGGCTTCCAACACCTTTCACTTCTATATCAATAGGTTTGAGTAATGTTCAACCTTAGATTTTAAAAAAAAAAAGTCATCACATGTCATCACTTTGGGGCCTGTAACCCCTCCAAATTAACCAGCCAGAATTTAGGAATCCAAGCAGCACCTTGATCTGAGACTTCCGCCGAGTACCGCACCTAGGACTGCCGATGATTGATGGAAGCTGTGACACCATGTACACCATGGTACACCCATCTTCAACTATTAATGTGTATTATATAACTATAAATGACTATATAATAACTCAACGTATCTAAATGTTGTCCACATCTGACAACTGTTGCTCCTAAATCTGGCCATCAACCTGTCGTGTCAAGCCTCCATGGCCTTGCTCAATGTCAACCAAGAGACTCCGGATCTGCCCAGTGGTAGTCACACTCACAGAAGGCAGTGTAGGTCGCCTTTGGGGGTCAAAACCCTGGTACCCTTCACACCAAAACTGTTGGTAAACAAATATTATTCATCCCCCCCAAATATGGTACTATAGTATTTCATAGGTTTTTAACTCATCCCCATGTTTGCTGAAATAGGAAACCTCTTGGTTGCAATATGTGACAGAAATCTTGATGCTGCTCTGAACAACTGGGGAGGAGGCAGGCCAGGCATCCACCTGTGGGTGTCTGGCGGAACATGCTCCATGGCTTTGTCCAGAAACAGGGGATCCCAAACTGACCATGTTCATAGAGAAAAAATGGTTCCAGATGATGATAAACCATGATAAACCTTAAAATGTGGGTAGCCTTCCAAACATTTTCAGACACCTTTAGGACCTTTCAGGAGCCCTCAGGGGTAAATTGGGCAAACTCACCAAATTTGAACATGTTGGGGTCACGATTTCCCACCTTTTATGGTTATCCTTTATGGTTGTCAAGCATGACATGCCCATGCTGGGCCCACCTTTAAGGGTGCGTGACTCCAGGGTTTGCATTGCCCTCGGCCAGAGCAGACCTGGCCACGCTTCTGGCCAAGAGGATGCCGTGGCCAAGAATTTCTGGCCGAATATTTGAAAGGTGATCAAATTTTTAAACAAAATACTTCCAACTAAAAAAAAAACATGTTCAAATCTATCCTTTTAGATCTTTTAGGCTTAGATGTGTGCTTTCCTTTGACTTCAGCATGTGGCTCTCGCTGAGATGTGGGTCTCACAATAATGGCCTTATCGCCCGGGACCGCAGAGCGGCAGGAATTCAGAGTGGCTGCTGATTCAGGCTGACCCTCAGGCACCTCAATCCGCGAGTTTTTGTTTGGCCGATGGCTGTTTGATGAGAAAGATTGATAAAGATTGATAAAGTAGAAACTAAATCATGATATAATATAATATATAGCATTCATTTAGTATAATCAATATCAATTAATTATTAATTAACATACGTTTGAAAGATTTCATGGATATGTGATACATATATAGATATACATAGATCATCATAGATCATCATGCGTGTTCTTGGTGGTTCTTGGTGGTTCTTGGTTCCTGGAGGTCACGAAAAACCGGTGCTGCAAGCGAGTCACAAACTCATACTGCACCAGGTAATCTGCCTCTTTTCTCCAGTTTGGGACCTCAGGTCCAGAAGAAAGAAACATAAAAAGGATGCACAACAGAAGCAACAAGATGATTGATTAATAAAAAATAATATATATATATATATGATATCTACATATATAATAAATATATATATATATAATAAATATATATATATAATATATATATATATATTGATCTTTCATCTAAGGATATCTAAGGCTTCAGAAAAGTGCTACAGTACATGCCTGTAGTGAATCCAAGTAACTCGGTGGCTCGGAATGAAGAGCGAGCACCTCGGACAAGATGCACAAAATGACAGCAGTTCCGCCTTTTTTTATCCCCACTTCTTGGTTTCGGTCAAGCAGCCCTTGCAGGTTGCATGCGCAAAAAAGCAGCGCAACTGCCATGATGTGCTTCGATCCTGAGGCGCAAAAGCTGTAAAAAACTTGCTGCTGAAAAATTGTGAAAGAAACATCCAGGAACTCAGGACCTCAAGGCTTGAGCAAAGCCTTTGCGAGAGACTGTCTATATATCTGCCTATATCATCCTATATCTAATTATATCTATTCTGTCTATGCTATTGTTTGCTATTGAGAATTGCTTACTTCCACAACAGTCACTGCCCGTTGCCCCCAATCTGAGCTAAGCCTTGATGCATCCAGGTGGCCAAAAAGAAATCGCCGCTCCGGCAAAGCATGCCAACCGAGCAGGAAAAGCCTTAGATTGCGAGACATTGCGAGACAGAATACATCTCAGATTGTCTGACATAAGCCTGACCCCATTCACGCATATTTCACTTTGCGTATGTCCAGGATCTCTCAACCACTAGACCTATCGGCCTATGCCTTTTGCAGCTCTTCGAAGTATCAAGCCGTGGAGCAGGAGCAAGCTTGGTGACATCCGCGTGGCGCCTGGTAGGTGTCGACAGAGTACTGTCGACATCCGCTTGATCTTGTACTCAGATTATCTCAGATTGACTTAGCAATTCATTATATAGCCTAGCTACAAAGCCTCAGATGAATTTTACACAATTTTACATCATTTTACGATGCCAGGGACGCCTTGGAGCTCAGCGGAACTTGAGGGAGCATATCCAGGTCTGAACCCAAACCATCCCATCATCCCATCATCCCAAGCCCCTGCATTTTTTCCCATCGAGGCCTCCAGTGCAAAACGCGGATGGGCCATCTTGATTGAAGTAGCCCGACCTGGCGGTCAAATATGTCAAATGACACAAGAACGACATCTCCAAAGCAACCCCGGACGCTGGTCACCACCAAGAACGCACATTGTTTAGCCATGTTTAGCCTAAGTCCTACTGTAAGTATGCTGAGTAGTGCTGAATGCTTCCAAGTGATGCTTCCTGCCACCTGAGTTGGTCACTGTTTGATTCCAGACGCGGTGTCCTCTGCAAAGACGCACTGCGTGGAAGCATCGCAGCACTCCACCTTTTCTCAGCTGGTTGAGGCACCATGAACATGTCAGATTGAAAACTGGGAAATGCTTTGACCATAATATCAAAGCAACATTTGTATGAAAAAGTGCAGGGATAATCAACGACTAGAACAGACCTGCCTTGCATTGATCCAGGTAGCCTTGCAAGCGCATGGGATTTCACATGTCCAGCAAACTACCCAAATCTTGCTCTCATAGATCTCATAGGCCAGCTTCAAGTGTGATTGAAAGCTCCTGTGTTGAGTTCGTGCAATGTGCATCCTGACCGCTCTCAACGATGAATCGAGGCCAAGAAGCTGCCACAAGCATTTCGGCAGGGTCTCATAAATGGTATCTGACTTCCAGTCTTGCAACCAGCCTGACGGTTCGTGGTGCAAACTGAAACTCAAAGAGAAAGGAACTGTACCCTCTGGTAAACTAACATAGCTATGGAAAATCACAATTTTTAATGGGAAAATCCACTATTAATGGTCATTTTCAATAGCTATGTTAAATTACCACAGGGTACCAGACTCTGCCAGAGGCATCGTGTTTCTGTAGAACATCTCTCCAAATCTCCAAACAAAAAACTGGGTGGGTCTCAGACTTCAGGACCCCATATATAGCCGCCCATTGGGTCACCGATGCAACCAAAGACTGCAGGAATATGTTGGAATAAAGGATTGCGCTTTTCCCAAGTTCACTCATCCCAACCTGATTCTTGGGAAAGTACGTCATGCAAGAAAGCCTCAAGTAGGTCAACTGCAGCTGCTTCAGTGCTACGATGCATGTGTTCCATCCATTTCCATGCCATTTAAAGCATTTAAAGCGCTAAAAGAACCACAGCAAGAGGAGCCGAACCGGCTGAGCAGGCTTCATGGTCACTAGAAATCATGATTCTGTCAGGTGACTTGTAGACGCTCCTCACGCACGGATCTTCGAACTCTTCTGGCTTCTTGAACTCCCAAGCCTTTTACAGAAGTGCAATTGCGGGCAATGTCGCACATTTGCCACTTAAGACTACGACTTCTGCGCATAGTCATCCCAGCAGTATTGGGAATCCTTATATTGGCCATGGTAAAATATCATAAATCCCTATTGAAATGAAGGTATGACTGAACATCCTCAATATCGGTGTATCATCCAACTTTTGACCATGGCACCAATAAGAATCATAGCTTTGGGATGGAGTTGCCAATGTCGCCAGGCGACATCATAGCCAAGGCCGTTCAGGTGATAGAAGAACATCGTGGATGCGGCACCTACAGTACATCGTGGTTATGCAGGACAGTTGGTGTCGCCTGAACTTCCTCTGGCAAATGAGAAGTTCAGCCAAACATATTATTTTTGCTAAGGTGTGCACTATCTTGAGACAAGACAATCTTGTTGATGGGCGCGGTCACGTTGTTGGTAGGCACGGCCGCATCATAGTCTATCGCATCCTGAACCAAGACACAGCAACTTCGGCTTTGAGCTCCACCCCCCGGTGGGATCTCGCAGGAATATTCAGAACAACATCAATCTTTTCAAGATATAGAGAGAGAGAGAAGAAGAAGAAAGGGAAGAATCCAAACAAGACATGGAAAGGACAGGGAGCACATATTTCATCATATTTCATCATATTTCCCGCTTTACATGTTGTTGCTAGCTGACTTGCTGAGACTTTTCCGAATCCCTGCCAAGCCTTACAGAAGGATACATACTTCTGCACCTGCATCAGAATCAGCCCAGCTTCTGCCACTCAACGGTTCTCAAATTCCTAGCCTCTAGGTTCCAAACATGGCACTGGAAAATCATCATGTCCATTTGTTCGCATTTTTCTTGTATGTTGTTTATTGTGTTTTCCGTGTTGACCGTGGACATGTGTCATGGCCATGTTTAGCGGCAAACTAGGCTGACCTCGCCAGAAGGAGAGCACTGCCAAATTAGGTTCTCCAACCTGGAATCGGAATGTCTGGACGTGCTTACAATCTCCATGTCAAAAAGGTCAATCTCTGTGACAACCAGCAGTAATACTCAGTATACCACGAAAAGTATTGAACAGTGACATCCAAAATGCTGCAAAAGGTGCTAGGATGTGCTAGGCACTGGACCGAGGCAAATCCATGAGCCCAGGGGAAAAAGGGTTCACGCAATTCTTTTTGTTACCTCAGCTCGTATGCAATGGACACCTGGTTTGTTTGGGTCAAATCTTGGAACACCGCTGGAAGAATCCCATCCCTCGCTCATGTGAAGATATATGACACATTCCCCTTGGTCCCAAATATGATAAATATGTGATGTCATCCTCTACTAAACCATGGTTCCTAGGTGTTTATGAATGGGCGAAGGGATCACTTTCCCCGCACTCAATCCTGCTGAAAAAACGGCAAGCAACTTCATGAGGTGAAGAACATGCAATGACTTAAGAGAAAGTACATCTGATGAAAATAGATGCTGTTCATTAGCTAATCAGAGGGGAAAACTCAACAGAGAGTCAGAAACTATCAGAAACTGCATGAATTATATGCCGGGTCACAGATCGGGTTGGTGGTGTAGAAACTGCTATCGCCCTTCGGGCTCAGCTTTGCCTACCCATGGCACAAAACAATTGCACCATTGCTTTGGCCAGCCGCAGTTTGTCCAAACAGTGGGGATGATACCCCAAGCTTGCCATTTTAATCCGAAGAACCTTGATCAACCACTGGATCAACCACTGTCTTGCCCCCCTTTCAGGAAACCACTGTGGTTCTGGCCTGTGTCGCATCAATGATATACGGCAGAAGTGGAAGTGCCCGCAGGGTGACGGCCACCATCTGCAGGTTACTTAGGGGTAGTCCCTCCTCCTACATCCTGATCATTTGTAAATCCCCCCCAGGAAAGCAGCCCAGGAGTTGATTGATCTGGGGCTAACACTAGTTAATTTGATGTCGTGTCATACTAATCTATATAATCAAAAAATGTTTAACATCGAAATTTAAAATATATATCTGAAAGCCAACTGCACGGTACGTATGGTACTTGAATTCTACTGTTTTTTTTCCTGGCAAAAGAGCTTATTTCCAAAGGGGTGTATCGAAGCACCAGCAAAAGCTTGAAACACGTAGATCCTACAATATAAATATATGAGTTCGTGTGACAATGGGGAATATGGCCATGTCAACCGGGAATTTGATAAACCCTGATAGACCATCAAGTCTTGGGCGTTTCCCCATAACTTTAAGAGAAAGCCACAGCTATTGCTGCGACATGGTGAATCAGCCCATGGGCCAAGCTATCGCCCCCCTTTTTTGCAGTTCAAGCGACTAATGGATTCACTATCCTCAGTTGTGATTTTTGCGTCAACAATTATGAGTAGCATCAGGAACATGTGGGTCTGTCTGAAAATTATGGGAAAACACACAAACCTTGCTGGTTAATTCAATCATTTTCCCTACTAATGGCTGGCCATAACTAGGGGGGTATACCCCATTTTCAGACACAGACTCATGTCATGAAATGGCACGAAACAACATCAAAGGAACATCTCAGGGTCATGTACCCAGCCAAGCATCAAATCTGAAATTGGCTCGTCAGGCCATGAGGTGGAAACCGGCCGGGGTTTCTCTTTGAGCCGAAAGCCTTACCATTTGGAAACTGCTCGTGCTGAGTAGAACTACCAAATACACTCTGGAAATGTCACAGAACTATGGAAAGTCACCATCTGATAGGTAAACCATCCATGAATGGGTGTTTTTCCTTAGTTATGTGAATTTACCAGAGGGAATGTGTACATTATCTTGAAATGAATTGACATTGGGACCTGCTTTGCCTCTGCGAATTTGATTGTGCAGGGCAATCCGTCGTTGACATCACTGCTTGGCGTCTGTGGCTTGAAACAGTCCTTCAGCAGAAATGGAAAGAATCTTCCATGAGTAGAATTACAGTGAATGCTCCAAAAGCAAACTTCAATTTGAACTGGTGCTCTCCTATGCAAAAGGGACCGAATCACATCAAATCACCATGGTTCCAACTGTCGCAAGCTTTCTTATTGCGCTCCTCATAACATGTTTGAGTTCAGCTGAAACTTTTCAAAGACAACCCATCCAGAACGATCCGGAGCTGTAACTGTTTTTCTCTGCATCGCTTGCAGGTGCTTCCGGCCAGTTTCCTGCACCAAGCAACTACCAGTGGGTGTAGTTGGTTAGTTGAACATCACGTGATATAAAATTTTGCCCCCATAACTTGGGATAACCATGGATAACCCCAACAAAAAATGCCAGGTTATCATCCGTCCAAAATCATCGAAAAACACACAAAGACTGTTGACCTGGCCTGGATAATCTCCTCAATATGTCGAAGGAGACCATTTCCTCGAAGGCTTGCATTGACCGCTTCTCCGCTAATCTGCATGTCCTGAGTTCATCGCTGCCAAACTTTGGCGTTGCACTTGCTGTGGATTTTACATGATACAAAGAAAAATGTACAAACAAAAACAAATATACTGCTCAGGGTGCATGATGTTTGCGTTTCTGATGTACATTTAAACTGAATTGTAATTCTGAACTACATAGCAGGGATGACAATTTATATAAATAGCAGGGATGACAATTTGATAGTACCGTTAGTATGACACAATGATAAAGATCATCTAGCGTTGCTTTCACATTGCATTAGCCCATATTCATCCATACCAGGATCAAGTAACTTGCATTTGAGGGAAATGCATGAGCCACGTCCACCATAAGAAAATACACACACACACCGTCACCTATATGGTAGATATGATTACACAAACCTCACTTTGAAAGATCGCTAAATGCAGATTCAACAAGGAACAGGTATGATGATCGCATTCAGCACTAATGCCCTCGAGACACGTAGTCGTATTTCAACAAGAAGTGTACCACACGGAACATCTCTGTGTGGTTCTTGCAACTTACCACCTCAGAAATTTTCAAGCGCCGGGCAGCTGAACTGAGTTTCTGTCAAAATCCATTTAAAGTTCTCCAATGTGTAAGATTTCTTGTACTTAACTAATCTTAACTACTTAACTCAAGAATTACTTCGGATTCAAATTTTCGTAGAGCTTTCCGCAATTTATTGAGGCGCCAAAGTTGGCTGGGTAGCTGAAGTTTTTCCAAGAGGAATCCACCAAGTCCACCAAGGAACCACAGCCTTTACTCCCAGTTCAAAAATCCTGCGGCGGCATTGCAGCAGTAATTCATATGATCCATATATGATCCATATATGATCCATATATGATCCATATATGATCCATATATGATCCATATATGATCCATATATGATCCATATATGATCCATATATGATCCATATATGATCCATATATCAAATGCTTCCAACACAGCCAACTGAAATCAACTGAATCTGGTGACACCATCTGCTATGCCATTGTGATCACTGTGATCACTGTGATCGTGCCTGCGAGCGCCTTTCAACACCAAGTGCTCCCCACCGTTGATGTGGATCTTCAGCACATCCAAAGGCTCACCTCGATTTCAACAGCAAGATGCATGGAGAAAAACTTATTGGCATAATTTGGCATAGACCTATAGTCCGTTAGTCCAGTCATCTCCGTCTCCCAATATGTTCTGACATGGTTGACTCTGAAATCTTTACAATACTGACTTTGTCTTCCAAGGGAGGATTGCGGACTGTGAGAATGCCCACTGCGTGGATGCCAGTTTCGCTGTTCTGCCCAGGAACTCCAAACATCATCAAGTGCTAGACCTTGCCATACAAATCGATAAGTGTCTGCCACTCGCATTGGCATATCAAAGGCAAAAAGCAACATGTCCAAGAAGGAAGCCATTTTTATTAAGTCGCAAAACAACACCCCAAGTGGCGTTTTGAACTGAACCAAGCAATCCAGCAAGCAATGTTTGACATTGTTTGACATTCATACGATCTTGAGAAGCACCTGAAAAATCTTCCAACCTATTGCTGACAGACGCCGTAAAGCGGCCGGCCTGGCACAAAGGAAAGCAACTGGCTGCCCTCAAACTCTGTGTGGTCCTTGTATTCGCTGCTGCCGGCAAGGGCACGAATTGCTTGGATGTTGTCCTGCATCTGGGGAAAATCAAACCAAAGCCAAAGCTTGCGCTTTGAAGACACAAGGCTGGAAAACAAGGCCCGAGCTCACGATGTATGGTATTCATGTTCCTCCAATAAATTGCTACCAAGCCAAACATAGCAAAATACCTTTGACCTGCTGGGATCCCTCATGGCTTTACTCCAAAAATCGGGTACCCGAAAAACTAACGGTCTACGCATGGATATATGTAAAAATAGCTAGAACATACAGTAAAATGAGGTGAATCCATGTGAATCTCCCCCATTTATTTTGATCCAGATCTCCTGGAAGTTGTTTGCTACGACTGAGCGCTGGAAGCGTTGCCAGCGGCCCAGATCTGCCTCGATGCCTAGGCATCTCACCTTGGGGCTGCATGTGTTGCCTGTATTTGCTTGTGGGCTATAGATGGAGATAGGTTATAATTACAAGTTATACATGGTTTAAAAATGTTATAAATTCAAATTATATTATATTAAATTTATTAAATTGTAGAGTTATAATGAGTTATATAAGTTATATATAAACCACTTCCCGTGTCACACTCATCCCGTCGGACTTTCCAGTAAATTTCCAAGGGACTCCTGGTATGGCTGCAGCAGCCCACAGCATGCAGTCTCCAAAATGAGCTCCGACCTGTCATGGTGTCATGGCACCGTCGGCAGTCAGTCAGAAAGGCATGAAGAGCTTGGCCGCACCTCCACGATCCGCGGCTGCCAATGGCTGGGTGCTTGGCTCGCAACCTGGCTGAACAGAAATCTGGGGATGCTAAGAATCAAGAGGATTTCACTGAAACGTACTGAAACCATGTGAAAATCGTAGTTTGGCACAGTATTTCTCTGGTCTAAAGCTGCTCTCGTCTTGTTTTTTATATACACACATAACATCACGTAACCGAACATTCAGAACATCTGGCGAGTTGATGCAAGTGTCATCATCTTTGAACCAGCCTCAACTTTGCATCACAACAAAAAACCCAACAAAACCCCCACCTGCGCCAGTGAGTTCCGAAACTCTCGGCTGCAATAGGGCAGCTGCTTGGCTCGCACGCTGTTGGAGATCACTTGGTCCTCACCGATTCATCGGAGAACAGTTCCAGTTCGATTTCCATCGGAGAACTGTAGAAACTGGTAGAAACCGGTAGAAACCGGTAGAAACTAGATGAAATAAATTGAAATAAGATAAATAAGATGGTTTGGAACCATTTCCCCCAATCTTCATTTAGAACATATCTAAACTATGATAAGCTCGTTGTGACCTTGATTATCATTTGCCCAGATTCATGCCAGATTTCTTGGCTCTCCCCGGCTGGGAAAGTCTTAAAGCTGCACCTGGTGGTTTGCTCGTGTTGGGCTCACGAAGATCCAAAACCAGTTCCGCACGGGAAGGAAGTTTGGAACTTGCTGAACACTTACCTTGGGTGACTCGGGTGACAGAACGTGGCCTTTTTGGGTAATTGTATGTAATTGTATGTAATTGTATGTAATTGTATGTAATTGTATGTAATTGTATGTAATTGTATGTAAATGTATGTAATTGTATGTAATTGTATGTATAATTGTATGTAATTGTATGTAATTGTATGTAATTGTATGTAATTGTGGCATGTGAGACTCCACCTCCATCTCATTCCTGACTTCTTGTGACAAACTCTACCAAAACAGATCAAAACAGATTGTCTTCGTCAAACATGTGTCCAGAAAGTCGAAACATTCAGCAGCATTTAGCACTGTAGCCTCTGGACCTTGGACCCTCGCAACCCCTCCATCGTTCTTTTCCAAGATCATTAGAAATCATTAGAAATCATAAGCAAGTATTAAAGTCATAGTAAAAAAAACATGATAATGACATAGAATGACTGTGAATCATTGCTCTCAACATTCAATGCCCCAACTCATAGAATCTCATCCCATTAAGGCCGGATCGGCTGCCATGTTGCATTCACCAACCCAGCACAGGAGAAGCGATCTAAAGCTTTCCACAAGGGCCATGGGTTGATGACTTCCACCAAAGCACGCGAGGAATGAGCAGCGACCTCACAGGGAAAAAACGCCACAAGAAACACATCGTCACATAGTCCGTGAAGGTGTTTCGAGAAGTGTGTCTGAAATATTATTGCATCATGTATATATGTATATCTTTGTATATGTGTGTGTGTGTCAATATTGTCAATGTAATTCAATGTATATATACATAAACATTGTTTCCAGAACACTTATACACAGTTATATGCATACAGTACTATGGATATCTATGAATATCTAGACTATACTAGACTATACATTATAGTTTATAAACTATAATCACAGCAAACGTGGCACTTTATAGCTTCCATGGATAAATTGAATGGCAGCATCCCCACCTGTGCTTTGGACAGCATCTCTGTACCACTTTCCAGATCCAGCAGCAAACCTTCCTCCCTCCCCCGACGCACCATGTCAGCAGCAAAGACATACCTCAGGATCAGTCATTTGGATTATACAGTATATGATAATTTGGATGATAATAAGGGATGATAAATTCATATAAATTCCCTAGATAGATAATAAAAATGGGAGATCATGTACTGGTCACACTCCATTGACATAAGCTAATAGGTAATATTCTAAACAATTCCAAAGTGTTGTTGGTTGGCTACAGTAATAGGGATTCCCATAATGGATGATGATGATCCCCAATATATTGTGTAGTAAAACCCCTATCTTGTCTCATCATCAACCAAGAGGGGATTTTGAACACTGCTCAAATGATCCAAGGCATGTAATTAGTGAGAAACTTGGTGAGACTGTGGCAGAAAAAGACACAATATCCCAGTGGAAATGAGTACACACACACACAACGCCAGTGGTAGTGCCTTCGAAGAAGACACAAGAAGACCAAAGTGTCTATCCGAGTGGTGAGCGAGTAACTTAGGTTTGTTCTTCCGCTTTGACCAGATCTTGCTTTTCAACCTGTTTGAAGCATCAAAACAAGGAAAGTCTTCACCATCTGGGGGTTTCCTAAAATGGGTGTACCCTCAAATCATCCATTTTAATAGGATTTATCCATTATAAACCAGCGATTTTGGGGCAATTTTGGGGTATCACCATTCTAGGAAACCTCCATTCCCAGCCATTTCAGCCAGGAACACACTGTGGCGCGAGCATAGGCGCAGGCCTGGACGGCTGCACTTTCAAGTGCCTTCTCCAAAGCCGCCGCTGGCAGCATCCCATCCTCTTCCAGGGCCAGGCTAAAGCGCCTGGAGAAATGTGGAACAGTTGCTGGGAACCAATCCGAAGCACTCGTCATCATTCAACATGAGGCAACAAGATAAATATATTAAATTTTAAATATGAATAAATATGATTATATATATAATTATATAATTATTTACTACAGTGCAGAACTATGCTATATCATCAACATTAATATCTACATAACTGTTATCAATACACGATGCGCAGCAAACTATCTGCTGTCGAGCTGCTGAAGCTGTTCCCCTCCACGGCACGTCTCCGAAACCTGCACCAGCTGAAGCTGGGACCTATGGCTATGGATCAAGATGGATCAAGAATATCACCCTCCAAAAAAGGCTTGGCTTAAGACTAACATTCCTGAACATGAAGAAAATTGAAGAAAATATATTCATTTTTTTTCAATCCAGATTGGCATCCTGTTTCAGACACAATAATTAAAAGGCTGGGTGTGGTGTCATGTGGTGTCCATAGCTCTTCATTTCACCAGGTTTCACCATTGACAATCTTTTGGTGGAGGCTGCAGCCGAGCCTCGCTGTCACCAAGACTCCTCAGAGGGCGGGCACAAAGCATAAACAATATTCCTGCCAACACTATTTACCACCAGTGGTTTTTATAGGTTTTTATGCAAGCTAGGACACCCATCAAGATAATTGCAAATCTCTATGCAGGCGATTTAAATCAGCTATATAAATATGATTTAACATGATTAAACATGATGTGTATATGCATTGATAGATATTAATAGCTACACCACAGCAACCATTCGGATTCTTAGCACTGCTGTATCTAGCCCAGCCACAGGCTCCGCAGCTTCTTACTGCAAAGACCCATCAAGGCGAAAATAGGCCACCCAGAGGCAAGAACCTGCACCAATTTTTGCAAAACAATAGAAGATACATGAAACAGCAAGGATCAAAAAGGACGATTCTGCTTATGTCCTGATCTTCACTTCTGTTATTGTTCTGTCATGTCTCTACTTTGACGCACATTTATCGACATTTCAAGTACGAAATCCCAAGCGAATGATGCCGACATCATGGTGCCGTGTGCCTCGTGCCACTGGGCTGCCAACTTCCAAACGTCAGACCATGCAGCATCAAGCAAAGAATCCAACCAATTTTCGATCTTTCCAGAGTTTACTCTTTTGAAGCTGCCAAGCAAATTCTTCTGCTCTTGACCTTACAGGCTCGAGGCAAAGAATGCTGGAAGCAGCTTGCAGCTTTGAGGTTTGTCACTGTACACGGTAGGTCCAACATGGTGCAACCTTACACCAGATTCATCCAGTACCTTGTGCATCCTGATCCCTGTCAGCAACCAAGGTGCTCGCAAGCAGCAACCAGCGGAAAGAAAGCTCGCCCAAAGGGCAATCAGAGTCCTTCTGAGCTACGAAAAACGATCGAACAAATTGAGCAGTGAAGAAAATCGTTGAAGCATGTTGAAAAAACTCATCTCGTCCTGAGCTTTGAAAAATCGGCACTAGAAGATCACTGCGACAAATCATGCTCGGTCAAATGAGTCGCGACTCAAGGATCATGTATGTTTAGCAATGCTTACAGCTTACCCACTATATCTTGTAGTCAAAGCATTCTGCCTTGCGATGCCAACGATCCACACGTGCGTAGAGAACCATCATCCTTGGTTCTTTTGCTAAAACTGTGCTTGGAAACGTTCGACTAGACAACTGCATGATGCGAAATTCAGGAAAATGCACTTGGTTCACTGTCGCAAATGTCAGGGATTGTCAAGTACAGGGAACCAAACAATGAATCAAACACACAAACACACAACCTTCAACTTTCCAATGAGAAAGAGATAGCACGTTGGAAAATATGGAAACTATATGGAAACTATATGGAAACTATGGAAGAAAAAAACAGTTTCCGATGTTTGCTGTGCACATCGTGAGTCCTCAAGAAAGCCCCTGTTGTTCCTCTGCACATTTCCTCTTCGAGTCCTCCAAGCGTCAACTCGGTATGTGCTTGCGTTTTTAAGCCATACACGCCTGGATCCCAACCTGCAGCCAGAGTCCGTGCATTCAAAGCAGCGCTCATCATCATCATCTACAAAAACAACAATAATAATCAGCAACATCATCATAGTAACAATAAAATACAATAAACACATATGTAATGACAACGACAACAGCATCCTTCCAGATTTCATCCTCATCGTCATCATACTAGTCATCATGCTGTGTTGTTTTCCTGTGTAGCATGTAGAATCACCATCATAATCATGTGAATCTTGAAACTACAACGCAACATCAACTTTACCAAACTTGGGCTACCAAGTTTACCATTGGTGTGACTGTGTGACCATCAAATTTTCTGGGACACAAGAAATCCCCATCTGCTGGTGGCTATGAAAATTTCTTTCATCCCGTGCCATCGCGATCGCCTGCTATGCTTTGCATTTGAAGTTTCAGCTTTGGCCAGTCCAAACCGCCGCTGGTGGCGTGGTCACAAATCCACCAGTCCTGGGGCCGTGCATCGGAAAATTGGGGAGAAAGAGAGATGTGAATATATTGTAATATAATATAATGTAATATAATATATACTATAATATAATATAATATACTATACACTAGTCACTATACTATAATATACTATACACTATACTATAATATAATATAAATAATGACAATATATATCACAGAATGTCACAGAACACCTACTGCATCATCAAATAGGAACTCTTTCTAGATCAAATATTGAAAAAAAACACAATGTTGGCACTGACACATGACAAATGTGAATAATAATTAGTTATTAAGTATATGTCATTATATGTTATTATAACCCATATGCTCCATGTATGGTATATTTACCTACATTTGGGTGATTTGTATGGCAAATCTTGGTAAATATACCATACATGGAGCATATGGGTAATGAATAGTTCAAACACAAATCACACCCTGCCCAGCTGCACCTCCAGGGGACGCGCCAATGCCACTGCTGCCCCCACTGCCATGCGAAGGAAGACATGGCGAAGGCGAAGCATTCCGAAATGTGCTCGACGCTGGCAGTGACGGTGATTCCGAAATGTCATGGTTGTCATAGTTCGAATTGACTTGTGTCTGAACTTTGAACCATTGAAGCATACTTCTGATTTCTATAGTTGTCATAGTTGTCCCCGAAACATATTTGTGGATGAGAAGGAAGAACGATCCACTAGGCAGCACCCACTTGGACATTGCAAAGTGGTCAGAAAATTAGATACAGTATCCATCAGTAACCACTTGTCAAAGTTTCGACATCAGGGGGTTTTGAATGGTTTTGATGCATTCATGTTAATATGTGAGTTCAACGGCAAGGTGCACATGTGCCTTCTGTTCAGCCACCCTCAAAATCTTCAAATCAGCTAAAGGATCTTGAAGAACATGATTTGATTTGTTTCAACTAGGTTCAAATTCTGCGAAAATGCTTACATGGTGCATGTCTCTGTAATGGCAGCAACTTTGGCTTTGCCTTTGAACCAGAAAGGCACACACCGCAGGTGTAAAACCCCAAGCATGTATAAGTGCATGAAGGTAGCACATGACTGTACTGAGTCCCATGAATGATCTCAATGCTTGGATCTTGTAGCTGTAGCTTATTAAACTGTGAAGCAACACCTCATCCATGCGACCCATCTCAAACCAAATCTGATTTGATCTGATTTGGCTGTGGCTCCATTTTCCCGAACTTCGCTTTCTGGTATGAATGAAACTCTGAGGCCCGCTCTGGACAATTATTTGTGGACATTTGAAATTTGACATCAATTTTTTTTCTCCTCAAAAGTAGTCGCTTCTCCGTTTGCATCCGTTTGCCCAGGGAAGGCAGTATTTCTGGGGATCTCCCCGGTCTGCTGATATTTTGGCATCGTCAGTGGCAGATAATCTGATTTGGCACGTAAACGGTGGATCTCCGATGTTTTTTTTTCGAAATAACAACGAGAAGTCTTACAGAGCCAAGTCAAACTGCCGTGGACCCAAAACTCTCCTGCCAGTTTGAAACTTCGCTTCCGCTCTTGCCCAGCATATCATCAGGACAACACCGTCGATCGATCTCTGCTCAGAATGAGTTGGAGACTTGCAATTTGGAAAGTCTTGGGTCTGGTGAGAATGAAGACACCTGCACTGGACAGCACCAGATTTGAAATTGAGTTGTGGGCTGACAGCAACACGCCCCCAATTGGACAGACATGGTCGGCTGATGTCGGCTGCAACCTGTGTGTGAGAAGCCTCTTCAGGTCTGGTCAACATGACTGAAACTGTTTTGCAGGGATCATCTTAAGAAAGATTTCAAGTCTGACACCAGAAGGGTGCACGCCCGCTGCAAGCACCGAAGCTCAAGGGGTCTGATCTGCGGTTTCCACGTGAACCCTAATGGAATCAACTTCAGAAGTCCAGTGGTTTCACCCGTTTCCATGTTCAGCAGTTCAATTGGTTCACCTTTTGAATTCGGCAAACCAAGGACTGATCACCCGCCTTGTGAATTCGACGCTGTCTTCTTTGTGACAGGTCACAGTCTGAAATAATGTGTCACCAGTAGCAGGTACGAGTACTGACACGCCAAACTGCGCACAGCTCGGCAGTTTCATTCTTTTTCGCATTGAAGCCACAGCTGGCTTGGCCAGACTGAGTTCAAAGCTTTTATCATTGTCATTGCACAGCTGGTGCAATGGCAGTCCAAGATCCAGGAATTTGATGGAATTTGGATGGAATAGGAACGCGTTTGCCATCTGTCCAGGACTGTTCTACATCGCACCAGCCATTGACAGAATTGTGTCAAGACTCAGCTTGGCGCAAACAGCTAAATATGCTAAATTGAAATTGCATGCTCTATGCTCCAACAAATTGACGACGAGCAGTTTTGGTAGCGACACATACAAACCCTATATATAAACTGACGTGACAGTCTGGTCAAACATCAAGTCAAGGTCATTGTTGAAATCTCAAAATTGAATACCAGTGTGGGACATCTATTGAGCCTTCTGTTCGAGAGACTTATGATCGTTGATGATGATATGTGGCAAATCAATTTATCATCAAAAATCATGAAACATCGTCAATAACCGTCAAAGTTAATCAAGACCATATCAAGGCCCTTTGCTGATCTTGGCCCAACCCTTCTGCGCTAGGACGCGGATGCGTTCGGCTGCGCCTGCGCCAAAGTCTGTCAAACGGATGTGGTCAACAGGATTGTCTGAAAATGCGAATATTCCCAGATATACATGTTTACTATTGTTTACTGTTAGAATAAGATGATTCACCAATGGATCTAGGGGTATCTTCAGACAAACCCACCTGTCTACTGACTTGGTATGCCACTGATATACCTTTACTGCGCCTGAATTACATCGAACTCCCTCCAGAGTGACAGACTCAAGAATCTTGAGAAAGTTGGTACTCCCGCAATCAACCTCATTCTGAAACTTCCGTTTTGCAGCAAAAAATGTCTCCCTTTGCTTTCTATCAAACCTGCCAAGCAGGCACCACAGCCTGATGTCAGTGCAACCCAATGCCATAGTGCAAAACGTCCAGTACCAAGGTAGGACCTTCGGGGACTGCATGGCTCCACGGGCAGGACAGCAAACCTATGCAAAACCAAGCCTCCGCTGCTGAATCTACGGGTTTTCTCGTATTTACACATGTCATACCATATGTCATATGTCAATATATGGGTGTTTCCTAAAATGGGGGTACCCCCAAATCATCCATTTTAATAGACTTGTCCATTATAAACCATCCATTTTGGGGTACCACCATTTTAGGAAACATCCATATGTCATATGTCATCCCTTCCACCCCATTCTGGTTTGATGGCCTTCGCTTCTTCCCCTTCCGGTTTTTGTCGGTGGCCAAGTCACTAGGACCACGCACTTCATCTATCACGCCATCCAACTCCTCTCTGGAATTCACCTCACCAACAGATCAAACCGAAGAAGTAGGGAATTAATGAGTTAATGAAAATCAAGATTGCAGAGGTCTGCAATGACTGCAATTTTTGTGTCAAAGGGCTGAAGCCACTGCCGTACTGCCCGTTTTGTTGCTGAGAATCCGGCCGCGACTAGCCTGTCGTGTGCAGTGACTATTTGAGAAGGATTCTCCTGCTGCGCTGAGCGTTGGAATGTGTGCACGCCACATGTTATATGGGGATGGGTCAAAACCCTCTCTTTCTCTCTTTCATCGGAAGCAATCGCTCTGAGGACAGAGTCGATTGCTCGCCCAGTGAAACCACCTCAATTCACGAAACCACGCGGAGGCACCTTACCAAGGTCGCGACCAATCTGTCTCGCAGGTAGATTGGTGGCATGCTCTTTGTAGAAGTCATCAATGGCAGCCAGTTCTGTTGCAGCCATGGGCACTTGCAGGCAGCCGCACCAAAATGTCAGCACATGTGATGAAGGACGTCGCTGATCAACTTCTAATGCAGCACCTACGGCTTTGGCTAAACTCATCAAAAACCTGACAAACCACTGTACCTGTTGCTTATATTCATACATGGAATCCAGAGGTCGTTCGGTCCATAAACGTCCAGTGGTGTACGGTCCAAGTCGACCCGTGCCTCCTTGGTAGCTGAGCAACAATTGGTGGAAAGTCACCCAAATGACTGCATGGTCATTCGCTAGAAGGTTACGGATCCACTGCAAAACATGTGGAGTTTCTGCAGTCTGCAACTTGGCTGGCAAGTCGGACTCCGAGCACTTGGCCAGCGCCAGAAGTCCCGCATCAACAGTGGCTGTGGGTGTGTCCATGGAAATTCCCTTCGGTGGTAAGGGTTCATCTGCAAGAGTACAGTTACGCGCACGCAAAGCAATCTGTACAAACATTTGGTGTACCTTGAGGCCAAGCTGATTTGAATGAGCAACATGGTCAACAGTGGCTTCCCAAGCGTCCCACAAACACCTTGGGAAATGGAGACGTGCACTGCGCGCGCACCAATCTGCCGCTGTGTTTCCCAAAACTGTCCACTCATCCAGCGCTGTGTCCTGGCATGCCGGGTCAGCGTGTGCTTGAACTTTATAAACTGCAGTCAAAAAAGGCCTAGCATGTTGAAACTGATCATGCAAGTGTTGCCAGAGGTCTTGATCTGTCTTATCCCTCCAATCTGTGTCAACCCCTTGAAGCCAGTGGTGTAACGTGTCTTGAACGTTGGAATTGTCAAACCACAATCGTGAGGGTTGCTCCTTGAAAGTGACAAATTTAAGTGCCGAAATCGCCGCTGTAAGTTCACCTCTCAAGCTGGTTTGTCGCCAGCCTGGCACTGCTCCATTTGCGACTGGCCAGAATTCTTCACCGGTCCATTGAACAAAGCCCCAGGACGCCAGTCTGCATTCTGAAACTGCAGGCATGATGCAGCTCCCATCCAAAAACAGATCTAAAAAGCGCAGTTGCACGGGATTTGGTGCGTGGAAAAATTCTGTTGTGGTGTCAGGCAAATGAAACAAATGGCTAACGAGGTCAACGGCGGCTGATGTCCGTGGCAACCAGCCATGGCATAGGAAGCTCAAAGGCATCTGCTCTTTGCAGTGAATTACATTCTCTGGGCGTAAATCAGCAAAGAAAGGGCACTCCCAATGTCTGTGGAGCTGGCTGTCAGTCTGGCCGCAAAACTTGCAACAGTCAGTATCCGTAATGCCCGCCTTGTGCAAAACGTCATTTGTAAACTGCGTACCGTTTAGGCAGCATCGCATCAGACCTTGGTGTTCCTGTGGTAATGCATGGTAGGCTTGAAGTGTACGTCGCACATCAGCATCAGCCAACCCTTGCATGGTGTGCCGCAGCTCTTGGGTCTGGTGCAAGATTCGGTCCTGCCATGCTTGCATCAATCGTTGGCGCAATTCTGTTTTGGAACTTCGACATATAAAAACTGGGTGTCCATTTTGGTCACTGCATTCATCAGCATGAGTCCAACTCCATGCAATTTTGTGAATGGCATGGAGGAAACTGTTACATGGCCCCTGGGAAAATGTCCGTCCATTCGCAAGGTGGTGCAGTGTAAACTGAGACAAATCAGGACTGTGGTGTTCCCTAAACGCCATAACAGTGGACAAGAGGCTATAAAACTCAGGGTCCGCAAGTGGTGGGCAAACACAAGACAACTGTAGGTCAGGGTTCACGCCGTTCTGCGTGAGGTTCATAGCTTTGACAGCAAGCGTTCGAAGTTTCTGGAAATGGCAAGAACCTAAGGTCACAGTGCAAATACCATAAAAAATATTGGGCCATGCTGACACATACAGGGCTCGCTGTTTTTGAGTAATAGGCGCTGCAGATCTTGCCATCCGGCTCCAGAATGGGGTCAGTGCCTTGATTTTGTCTTGAACTGAGGCATTGGTTCGGAGTTTGGAGTAATTCATATGGCCACCCAAGTCACGTGCAAAGTATTTACGGTTTTGGTCATGTTCCAAGATTAATTTTCGGCCCGAAGAGGATGTGGACCAACAGAAGGTCTTAGCAGGATCAGTCTCTAAGTCCAAAAGTGAACAAAATTCCTCCAGTGCTCGGACGGAGTTGAGGGCATCCTGGGCTGACTGGGCAACAGTTTCAATGTTGTCCACAAAGGACCAAACTCGTACAGATGGGTAACGGAAGTACATCCACATGTCACAAACCACATTACACACTGCCATTGCTACAACTGACATGGCATCACCCTCTGCGAAACCACAAGAGCTTGTCAAGGAACGGCCTACGCAGCCCTGGACCTGGAACCTTCTTTGAAGCTGCCGTAATGCAGCGTGCCAAGGCTGCATGACTTCACTGGGAATGCCCAGGTGGCTGGCAATTTCCAAAAGGGGCTGTTGCGGCAACATGTTGAAACATTTCACGATGTCAATCACTCCCCCTGCCACTTCGGTGTCGTGGCAGTAGGAATGTTCAATGAGTTGCTGAACATGAAACCAAATATGTCTTGGGCTACGCTTGGGCATGTTACCCATCAAAGTGCAAGGAGCAAAAGTGGCTAAGTACCTCAAACATTGTTTGGCCCTTATTGTACCCCAGCAGCGAAATGGCAGTGGGAAAACACAAATCGGTCTGTATTGCGATACGGTTTGTGCATCTGCGCTCTTGGCTAGGGCAGCAACGTGGCCGGTGACAAGTTGTTGGGGCCATGGTGCTCCTTCTTCAATGGCATGGATAAGGGCTACCATGTCATCAACTGCTGCACTTGGCATTTCTAACATGTCTCGTCTGGAAACCCCATCAGGGCCAACAGCTGCATTTTTTCGCTTTTTGGCCACGGTTTTTTGCCAAAGTTGGGAGGTAATAGCAGGAAAGGTAGTTTGGCGTTTAGGCAAGGCATGCTTGGCAAAGTCAATGATGGGCTGCCATTTCTCAGCTTTGGTTTCTTCATGGCGTTGCCAACGCTTTTGCCATTCTTGCTCAAAGGCGGAAAGGACTTCCCTGGGGTTACCAACAACACTCTGGAAACTAACGGTGGGGCCTATTGCAGCAGCTATGGAAGAGTCTACGACAACACTGTGGGGATTAATGGTTGTGACAGCAACCGGAACTCCTTGCGCCTGGACACATGTGACACTGTCAGGCAGAGGGGCTGCAAGGTGGAGCTCAACCTTCTCTGTCTGGTGAACATCTTGGCTTGAGACTACCGGTATTTCTTGGGTCTGGACAATGGTCTGCACTGGTTCGGCCCTTTCCCTTTGGAGGTCTCTGTAGATCAGCAAGGGGTCCTCGACTCGGCGCTGAGTAGCATGCATGGATCTGGCCTGCATCAAGCTGGACTCAAGAGACCTATAATGCCTTGAAAACTCAAGAAAAATGGCACGTGCCAAGGTTGGTTCTGGAGGGCATCGCGGCAAAACTGAGGGTGTGTCAACAAAGGCTTTATGTGCATTGATCCACCAATGGCAAAAACCACCGTGAAAACCAGGTGCACGTAGGATTTTTCCCCACAAACACGCTCGATGCTCTGCATGGGTCAGTGAGTCAGGGCAATTGGGGCATCTTGCAAAATGTTCCAAGCGTCGGACTTGCTTTGTCCATCTACAGTGTTGCATGGTTGAGGCGGCAAGTTGGGACTGGATGTCCCCCCGTCTATTGGGTTTGACTGGGGTGGTCTGCTGGATCGACCACTTAACTTCTGTGGTTGTGGCCCGCCCGCATTGATGTGGCTGCAGTGGTGGTTTATTATTGGTTGTGAGCAGCTTGTCTGCGTAGCGTTCAACGTTCTTCCAAATGTTGGCATACCAAGCATCCATGTCCTGAGACTGTGCTGCATGAAAGGGCCAATCCACTTGCTTACATTGTTGTTGATTGGGCCACTCAAATTGGGACGGCTTGCGCCACATCGGAACAAGTGGCGGGGCTGCCAAATCTGAAAGATATACCAACAGGACGGCGTGATCAGCAAAACAAGACCAGTCCAACTCTACGGCAGTGACATATGGTAACACTTCGGGAGACAGGAACATGAAGTCCTTGACTGTGGTATGTTTGCAAGTGGCACCAATGGGTGTGGACCACCTGCGGCAAGCAAAGGTTTGAGCCTCCATCCACCCTTGTGCCTCCCAGTATGATGCTTGGGGGATATTGTTGCGGTCAAGGTTCCAATCCCCTGAAATACAACGAAGACCTCTTGCGCCATCCACGATTCTGGTGGTCAAACCGTGCAGAAGGTCACCTGTATGCTGTTGGACTTCAACCGTGTGGGACTTCTCATTGTAGCCATAGACGGTACCCATGGTCAGCCATCGCTGGTTGACAAAGGCAGTAGCTGCCAAGCATCTGCCTGTGGCAAATTGTTCAGGAGTCCATGTGTGGACCAAACTCCTGCATGGATATGGACTGAGATAAGCTACCCCAGTGTGCTTGCCCCCTATCGTTCGAATGGAAGCGTTCTTTGGTGGTGCTGGCATTCCGTGGGTGAGGTGATACCCAGATTTTGCCCATGTGAGTTCTTGCTTAAACTTTGGAATACCCTGGGCCGTCAGGTGGGTTTCCTGGACTGCGTACAGTCCTTTCGGCAAAGCGGACAAGTCACGAGCCTTGCCCATCAGCCCGGTGGGATTCATGTTGCCTAGAACAAGCTCATTAGGGCCAGGATTGGCGGCTTCCCCCAGCCGCATGGATTGAGAAAACACTATGATCAACATACACAGTTGACGGAACTTATTGGTCACGGACACTGGCGTCCGGGCATGATTGCTTGCAAATGGCTTGATCCGTGGCCGACGACTGGTCAGGCTTCTGTACAATGGTTCAAAGCCATAATTAAACTCGGCCTCTGGTCATTCATGTCTGCCCCGCTTACACAGGAGCTGCTCAATGCGGTCCATGTGCTCAGCAAGGCGTGTGTCAAGCTGCTCTCCTAGGCATTTGCTCTGCTGCTCGACGTGTTGTTGCAGTTGGGATACTTTGGCATCAGTGCCACTTTGCATGGCCTGCAGCTGTTGAAATTGGTGTTCCAACTGGGAAATTCGGGAATCCATTGCGTTGGTTTCCATGGCAACATCGCCGTCCTGTTTGGTCAGCTTTCGGATGATCTTGCTTTCCAAGGAGGCTTCCAACTTGTCAAGTTGCATGGCAGTGGGCGATACATGGGAACTGGGTTGCTGTTTGGCTGGCTGTCCGGAATTTGGAGCTGGACCTTTCCTCCAGGGATCGTCATGCAGCCAGGGGTCAGCTGATTGCAAATGGTCAATGGTCTTTTTGCAATGCAATGATGGCAAATGGCTCCGGTTTGGCTTGTGGCTTGGCATCTTGGACGCGAGCAACTAAGACATCTCCATGCTGCAAAGCATAAACAAGGTGTGTTGGTGGCTCAACTGCCTGAACAATCCATGTGATGCCGGAGCCATCAGGGGCTCTCCCTTTGGGCTGGAGAGGGCGCGCATCCCAGTCCCAGGCTTTCAGGATCTTCATCAGTGCCGTTTTGGTGGTGCTATATGGCAATGGCCCCACAGTGAAAAGGAGCTTGTTTTGGCCAAGCAGCAACGGTGTGTCGGGACGATGCTTGGAGTGGATTTCTTGGGCAACCATGGTGTCACTCCGGAGCCCATAGCGATCCCCGTGTCGCACCAAAGTGGTGGTTTGAGGCGACGTCTGCTGTGCATATTTGGCATCCTGCAGGGTCATTTTTTGGAGCCAGGTGACATGGTAGCTGTCATTGGGGTATCTGCCACAGTGCGACCTTGGTTCCCAGTAAACCCCATTCTGCCCTGACTTGGTCAACAAGGTTTCGGCCTGGGATGCTTGCATTCGAATGCTGCAGAGAAACATGTCAGCGTTGGTGGGTCTGACCTTCTCATATTTCTTTGTGACCCATTGCCTGTCCCAAACATCTATCACAACTGAATCTTCACCAGGTGTGGGGGTGAGGAGCGGTTCAGCTTGGAAAATATGTTTCACCGGTTGCAGCAGCATGGAATCCCAAAGCGGCATGGCTTGATCTCTGAATACGACACATCTGACAACCTCAGTCGGTTGCTCTTCTACCGCAAGCTTCGTAGGGGGGTCATGTCGAATAACCTGTTGGGACCCCAGTTGATACATGTATCCTGCAGTGATGAGAGGCTCCTGGGTAGACAAGCACATAGCTGGAAACCGGATAAGTGGCATCTGATGCATGTTGGCGTTGTGCTTCGTCGCCAGGACAATCACTGCCAAACCGCCTTTGGAGACCGGTTGGGGAAGACGCAATGTGGCTTCACAGTCTTCTTGGTCAAGCAAAAGGACGCCACTGGCTTGGGGACCAACTTCATTGACATGCAAGGAACTGAGGACCGTGCCATCTTGTTGTCGGAAGACGCCATGTGGGACTTGCAATTCACTGGCTTGAACTGATGGCACCTCTTTGGTAGCATCTGGTTTCCTGGCTGTTTGGCGGTCACTCTTTCTGCCATACTTGCGTTGGGATGTTCGGTTGGCAATTTGGGCATTGAGCTCGTCAGCCATGATCAATCTGAGTTGAGGTTTCATATTGTTCGCTGCTGCTTTCAAGTCCTGCCATGGTCTTGGAGACGCAAGAATGTTGGCAAGGATTGCCGGAGAGATCTTGGCTACTATCTGGGCTGCTCTTTCTTGAGATCGTTCCGGCCAAACTCCATGCGTGGTGAGCAGTTCTGTCAACTGGTGGACTTCGCCATTGTCCGGCCTGGCGCCACCTAAGTCCAGGTGGTGGGCAGTGTGCCAAGCTGTTTCGTGCCTGAGAAGCTCATTGGCGAAAAGCTGTCGCCATTTGGCCGCTTGCCGACATGATAAAGCTTGAACTTCAAGTCCACTCAGTATGGCAATGATCCATGCAAAACTCTGAAACCCACAGTCTGCCGGGAAACTCTGTGGGAGGACACTCTGCTTTGCGGAAAAAGTCATGCTGTTGTCTTGCACCAATGTTTCAACTGTCTCAAGGAAGCAAGTACCCTCGGGTGTTGTATACATGGTAATGGTTGCTGCTTGCTTGTGCAAGACCAGTGGGATCCAATGACCATTGACAATTGCGGCAGAACACCATTTTTGGCCTTCGGCGATTGAATCCAAAATGAGAGACAGTCAATGGTGCGCTTCATCTTTCACTGCAATTTCATTGTGATAGCAGGCAGGAGGAAATGCTGTCGCCATGTGATCAAAGGATGTAGCACTCAAATAGTATTCCATTTCATCCCTAGCCACCCATGCTTGCTGGCGGTACAAAGCCTCAATACGAGGGCTGGGCAGGCTAAGGTCTGGGCGGCATACGGCTGCTGAGTCTGTGAATGGACACTGGTTCCAAAGTTGAAGCTGCTCACGCACAAAGATTACCTGTTTATCTTCCAACGGGAGCATCAATGGGATGGGTGTGTTGAGCCATGAACTCGCATGCAGATCAGGCGTCCCCTCCAAGTCAAACTTTTCTGCTCTGAGTAGCTGGCCAACTTCAGTACCTTCTGAGACACTGACAACGCATGGCAACTGAGCTCCATCCCTGAGGACCATGATATTGATGTTTGTGCCACTGGCAGAATCTTTGTCAGAAGATGCTGCTGGGGACCATGCTCCATTGGTTGGGCATGCCAACGCAGGCTCAAACGATCTGACAGGTGCTGGGCTGGACGCAGGCGTCGAAGACTCCGCTTTGGCTTTCTTGGCTGGCCGTGGGGTTTCAAATCCACAGACCCCTCCTGAAGAGTTGGCTTGCTGGAATGATTCATGTGGTCGCTTACCGGACTCGGCAACTGGGGTGGGTGCAATGGTCTGGGGCGATTGCACTGAATCCCGCAGAGGCCAAGGAAAGGCCGATGGACAGGTTGGCTCATCTGCTGCTGTGGTGTCGGCACAGACATCAAAATCCAAGGCCTGGGCAGTGAGTGCTTGGAGTTGGTGCTGACCTACCTGGTCTGTGTTTGCCGGGACTGGGTTCACTGACAAACTGTCAACATGGGCAGATGTACCTGGAGTCATGTTCCTAGGGTCCTTGGGGACCTGTGGTACTTTGCAACCATGTTGGATTGATGGGGTACATTCATCTTGATGTGGTGTGTGACCAGGAAAATCTCCCCCTTCTGTTCCGACGTACGGCAAAAAGGCCAAATGGTCAAGGGCCTGCAACTTCTGGGGCCAAGTCAATGTCTGTGCGGTTGCAAATGTAGCCAAGGAGGCTGTGGCCTGGGTAGTACTGGTCGTGGTATCATGGCAATGTAGCAGTTCAGTCACAGGAGGACGGTCCTGGGGGTTCTCTGTGGCATCTGTCCGTTCGACTTTTGGGCATGGTGGGTGTACACCGGGCTCAATGGAGTCCGGGGCATGAACACTTGCTAGTGCAGTCCGGGCAACATCAGCTCGGAGCTCATCTGGCATGTGTACGGTTGGTGCTCCGTGCGTGTCAACTGACTTTAGCTTGGCATCATGCATGGGTGTGGATGACCTACATGGATGGCATGGGACTACCGATGTGGCCGAGGTGCATGCTGATTCTCTGATGGTCTGCGTGTTGGACATCCGGGTACCTTCCTGACAATTGGGTACGACAGCGACGTGACCAGTAACGACCTGTGAGGACATGGCATGGACATCAACAAGGCACGGACTGGTGACATCTGTGACGTGTGCGGCTGCAACATGTGGGGATGCGGCTGCATCGACTGTGGCAGTGACAACGGACAGGGACAAACATGGTGTCGGCGTTTCATCACTTGCATCAGTTTTCCCTGCTGCAGAGGGCACGGGCGGAACAGGACATGGGACACCAGACTCGGACCTAATGACAGGACACGCGGCGGCTGCATCAGGTTCATGCCGAGGCAACATGGCAGGTGGATCAGATATGGCACTGGCGAAACTTGTCTCGTCAATTGGAATTGTCTGATGGGGCATCGCAGGCTCAACTGTACAGACTGATGGCATGGAAACGGTGACGGATGCACTATGTACAGGGTCAGGCAAACGTGGCGGATGCTCGGATGCGTCGGCTGAGGCAACTGTACACAAAGGCTCGGCTGGTGTCAGGGCCGGTAGCTGACTCTCGATGGCCTGTGAGGCTCCGGCATCGGTCTTGTTCTTGTCTGCAGCTGGGTGATCATCAATGCTCCTGGCCGAGGTGCATGCTGATTCTCTGATGGTCTGCGTGTTGGACATCCTGGTACCTTCCTGACAATTGGGTACGATAGCGACGTGACCAGTAGCGACCTGTGAGGACATGGCATGGACATCAACAAGGCACGGACTGGTGACATCTGTGACGTGTGCGGTTGCAACATGTGGGGATGCGGCTGCATCGACTGTGGCAGTGACAACGGACGGAGACAAACCTGGTGTCGGCGTTTCATCACTTGCATCAGTTCCTGCTGCAGAGGGCACGGGCGGGACAGGACATGGGACACCAGACTCGGACCTAATGACAGGACACGTGGCGGCTGCATCAGGTTCATGTCGAGGCAACGTGACAGATGGATCAGGCATGACACTGGCGAAACTGGTCTCGTCAATTGGAATTGTCTGATGGGGCATCGCAGGCTCAACTGCACAGACTGATGGCATGGAAACGGTGACGGATGCACTATGTACAGGGTCAGGCAAACATGGCGGATGCTCGGATGCGTCGGCTGAGGCAATTGTACACAAAGGCTCGGCTGGTGTCAGGGCCGGTAGCTGACTCTCGATGGCCTGTGAGGCTCCGGCATCGGTCTTGTTCATGTCTGCAGCTGGATGATCATCAATGCTTCTGGCCGAGGTGCATGCTGATTCTCTGATGGTCTGCGTGTTGGACTTCCTGGTACCTGCCGGACAATTGGGTACGACAGCGACGTGACCAGTAGCGACCTGTGAGGACATGGCATGGACATCTACAAGGCACGGACTGGTGACATCTGTGACGTGTGCGGCTGCAACATGTGGGGATGCGGCTGCATCGACTGTGGCAGTGACAACGGACAGGGACAAACAAGGTGTCGGGGTTTCATCACTTGCATCAGTGTTCCCTGCTGCAGAGGGCACGGGCGGAACAGGACATGGGACACCAGACTCGGACCTAATGACAGGACACGTGGCGGCTGCATCAGGTTCATGTCGAGGCAACGTGACAGATGGATCAGACATGACACTGGCGAAACTGGTCTCGTCAATTGGAATTGTCGGATGGGGCATCGCAGGCTCAACTGTACAGACTGATGGCATGGAAACGGTGACGGATGCACTATGTACAGGGTCAGGCAAACGTGGCGGATGCTCGGATGCGTCGGCTGATGCAGCTGTACACAAAGGCTCGGCTGGTGTCAGGGCCGGTAGCTGACTCTCGATGGCCTGTGAGGCTCCGGCATCGGTCTTGTTCATGTCTGCAGCTGGATGATCATCAATGCTCCTGGCCGAGGTGCATGCTGATTCTCTGATGGTCTGCGTGTTGGACATCCGGGTACCTTCCTGACAATTGGGTACGACAGCGACGTGACCAGTAGCGACCTGTGAGGACATGGCATGGACATCAACAAGGCACGGACCGGTGATATCTGTGACCTGTGCGGTTGCAACATGTGGGGATGCGGCTGCATCGACTGTGGCAGTGACAACGGACAGAGACAAACCTGGTGTCGGCGTTTCATCACTTGCATCAGTTTTCCCTGCTGCAGAGGGCACGGGCGGGACAGGACATGGGACACCAGACTCGGACCTAATGACAGGACACGCGGCGGCTGCATCAGGTTCATGTCGAGGCAACGTGGCAGATGGATCAGGCATGACACTGGCGAAACTGGTCTCGTCAATTGGAATTGTCTGATGGGGCATCGCAGGCTCAACTGTACAGACTGATGGCATGGAAACGGTGACGGATGCACTATGTACAGGGTCAGGTAAACATGGCGGATGCTCGGACGCGTCGGCTGAGGCAACTGTACACAAAGGCTCGGATGGTGTCAGGGCCGGTAGCTGACTCTCGATGGCCTGTGAGGCTCCGGCATCGGTCTTGTTAATGTCTGCAGCTGGATGATCATCAATGCTCCTGAGCGAAAGCGGGTGTGGCATGGCAAAGTCATGTGCAGTGATCATCTGAGTAAACATGGCAGCATTGATGTTGGACTGTTTCCCAAACACTTGGTCTCTCGCAGTCAAAAGTCTTTGCATCCAAGTGAAAAGAGCAATATTGGGGGAAATGCCAGTTCCAATGTCCATACGTTCATGCAGATGCTGTGCAACCAATGCCCCGACCCAAACCGCTTGAATTGGGGAAGCCAGCTGGCCCAATGCACACAGTGACATACGACATTGATTCCCAAAAGGCAATCCAGGAAGCATTCCATTGAAAAGTGCCAGTTCATCAGGGTGGATGTGACGAAAATTGGGGTACGTTTTCATGCCACATGTGGAAACTCCTCGCATGGGAATCAAAATTCCATGCAGTCCACCCTTTTCCAGCCGACTGTCGCTGAATGCATAGGTCCTGCATCCGCAGGGGCAACCCATAAGTTGACAACCACAACTGTGCAAACTGGTCTGCATCTGGCCATTCCACATGAGCATGTTGGTGTCAAAACCAAAATGTCCAAAGCGGCCCAACTCATAAAGGTCAAGGGCAAGTTGACGGGTGTCTTCATCATTGCATGTCTTGAAACGATCCAAAAGGTGGGCAATCAATGGGAGCGGACTGCACTGCGGAAACGGATTCCAAGGGATCTGACCCACTTCATGGTGGCTAAGGACACACCACCACCGCATTCTTCGTGCTGGCCAAACATGGTGGAGGTGCAACAGCCCTTGTGAAATGGTAAATCCAGTCATCTGGCAAAACTGTTGCAACACTTTCTGAACCCATGGGCAAGTCAATGCTTCTCCAACACATTCCAAGATTATGAGGCCAAATCGACCCAAAAAACCTAATCTGAGGGTTCCAGGGAGCGTTTGTGACCGTGAATCCTGCTCTGCTTTTTGGTCCCCAAGTCGGCTGTAGGGCTGACAAGCCACTCCAGCTGCAATGGAACCTGCATCAATCCCTTCGGCACACATGGGGGCAAGCAAGCTCAGATTGGTGACATCTCCTTGGCAAGTTGGTGCTGGATGGATACGCTGGGACATTTGCAACATGCTACAATTGATGTCACACTTAAGGACAGTGCAAAAACCCGCATGCTCAAGCCCAAAACCCATGCATCCCATTCCGCTGCACAGCTCAATCACCCGCAGGAGTTGCTGTCGGTGCATATATGGCCTAGGAGTCACTTGGGAGCTAGCTTCTGCTTTGACCTGAGGTGTGGATCCTGCGTTCACAACCTTGACATCGATGATGGCGACAACTGTGGACCCCTTGGGGAGAAAACCTTCATACTCAACCTGGATTCCTCTGAGGGCAGTTCGGAGTACATGTTTCTGTTGATTGGTGTCAAACATCCTGACTTCAGCCAAAAAGGAAGTAGTAGCACCAAGAGTGATCGAACCATCCAGAAATTGAACATCCATGGCTAAGCACAAATCCGAGGGTCGGTCTGAACGGTCTCACCTCTGGAAGGTCTCGGGCCGAGACTATGGGTCAAAACCCTGGTACCTAGTGAACCCCAAAATAGCTGGTAAATGGATGTTCATCCCACTAAAAATGTATCCATAGGCTATAGGTATTGACCCATACCCATATGTTATATTCATGAACATTCTGTGTAGATCCCAATTGCTCAACAGCAGTCTACTCAAACTCTCCAACATGACATGCCATGGGGCTGACCTGGTTCCATTGCAGCACCAGCCCGTCGGTGATGTTCGTCAACCAGGGCTTTGCACTGGACTTCCGGTACTGAAGATCGACGCCCAGCTTCCTCAGCTTGCGAAACTACGGAATGGAATTGAATGGCTCCATTGAAATTCCGGGCTATCTAAAGTAGTTGTCCATGTCATTCTATATTCAATAATATTCAATAATTATAATATATATATATAATATAATATTATATATATATATATGATATACAGCAAATAAATACTTCAAGACAGAGTGAAAGACTCATTGTGACAACAAAGCCACAGTCATAATATCTGGGATTCCACAAAGCCTGCTTGCTGCCTTACACCCCTTGCCACAGCCTCGCCATAGCTGTGGTCTGAGCCAAGGAGCCCCGGTCTGTGCAATGTCAACTTGCGCTTTACAGGGCGCTGCAGAGTGAGAAGAACATCTGCTCTGCCTTTGTCCTAACCGCCACTTTTGCCCGCCACTATTGTAAATCATTGGGAGTCAAACCATCGGGGTATCGAGGGACCCACACAATATCACAATGACTCACTATCATCAGGTTTAGGTTTTAACATCATCATATATCATCATAATATAATCATGATATAATCATGATTCATGATCACTGTTATTACTAGTTACTATATATCTTGTTATACACCGAACCTGTTCATTTTGCCCACAACCAATTCCACTCCAGGCCCGTGGCGGTCACAGGTCTCAAAGTGTGATATTCAACATGCTCATTGGGGACCCCAAACCCATGACTCCTCCACTGTTTCACATTGCAGTGATTCGGGGTTTCCATGGGTTTCCTACATTGGATATCTTTCGATGATCCATGATCATCTTGACCTGAGTTCAACCATCGTCCAAGCGTTTTTTTACGTCCTCTATGTGCAAGTCGACATCCACACCGGAAATCTTTTTCCCATTGACCTTGGCACTTCGAGCGTGGCATGAGATGTGGCATGGCGAGAAAACTTTACAGCCAAAGCGACTGAAGCGTGTCCAGCATGATCTCGTCTCAACAAGTATTGCTGCTAGTACGGATAGGTGATGGTAGTCCGTAGTCACCGTAATCCTTGCCTTGACTCCTACACCCTCCCCTGCTCAACCGCTGAGGGTTTTTGAGAGACATTGCCGGGTCACTTGTACAATTCTGTCATATCTTCTTATTTGATGTTCCGAAGCCTGACTTTCGTTCCAGTCCTTGGCAAAAGCTGGTCTTCACGAAGAGAATCTGGCTCATGAACAAAACTACACTGCTCTGGTCTGTGGGATGGCACAAAGCAAACGCTGTTTGGCAGTTGGCCCGTGCGGGGCACGGTGCAATGCAAGTCTTGCTTGGCGGTGCTTGCGTGTTGCTTTCTGATGCTTTCTGTGTGATGCAATTATGAACTCCACCGCTCTCGAGTGCTGAGAAGCTTCAATCAAAGGGCCTGCCACGTCCTTTATGACAACCTCAGCACAACAGGCAAATCTATGAAGCCCATCAAGAGAGCAAATGAGCGCAAGTTGAAGTTCAGGGCATACAACCGGTTTGAAACATGCTGAAACCCATCTGCTGACATGCAAAGAAACCATCAGTTGCTGAGCCCTGTGCATTGTGAATGTCAGTCTTGTCGATCGACAGAGGTCCCTTTCTTCGGAATTTCACCATGAAGGTGTGCGGCGTGTCCTGCATCTTCTCAGCCAAACAGTATGCTTGGCAGTGCAAAAAAAACACAAACATCCAAAAACGTTTCACTGCCGCGTCCTCCTCCTCCTTGACTTCAGACATGGCATTTTCTGTGTGAACCACTGTGCGCTGCCGCTCATCTGACACATCTAGGACTGTTTGCCTCAGCCAAAGATGGTCCCAACACACGTTGATGCTCTGCAATAAATGGAGATCTCCCGTGACTTTGCACAGGACTTAGTGCAGCTTTTGGCTTCTCTTGCGCCGCCATGTCATTACACACAACTGTCACTCACACGAGCAGGGTGCAATGCTGCAACAACAAGTGCCAGAGTGCATACATGAGCATAGTCAATAATGCAAAAGCAGGTTTATAACATTTTACAACTGGTTTCTGTGCGTCTCATAGGAGTTTGTCCAAAATTTGGGCATACCCCTTCAACAAATTGCAATTCACAGTAAATTGGACAGATAATTCAGATAATAGTAATCTTTGACATTCCCTTAGAATTGGGGGTAGACCATGGTGGACCATTTTCAGACAAACCCTGTACGCCGTTCAGGCAGTGACTGCTGCTTCTTGGGATCCTCTTGCCAGCAGCAGTAGCAATACCTGGCTCCCATGGAGAATGGAATGGAATTTATCCAAATCAGGCTGGTCATGTTTGGTCCAATCGGTATCTAACCATTCTAACCTGGGGGTCAATATTTTTGAGCCATACCTACTGGATAGTCATAGTTCTGGATCCCTCAAACATGTGTAAACCATTCAGTTTGAGGCAGGGGGTAGATGTTTTTCATCAAAACCATGTCATCTTCACTGCCAGCACGACTAGATCGCCAGCAGCTTGCCCCCTAGCTGGCCAAATGATACGCTGCAGTATCTGAGGCAAAGACATATCGTGCCACACGGCAAGGCGGCCCCCTTGAGCCAATAGGTCCGCGATTGTTGGAACTGGACAAACCAAATTGCAAACACTGTCCTTGGATCTTGATGGATCTTGAATGTCGAGAGCCACATGCCTTTGAAAGTAAACATGAATCAGCTAGCATGTAGAACCCTCTCATCCAAATCCGGCAATAATCTGTCCTATTCCTTTCTGAATGGTCCTTGTCTAGGTCCAAGTTTATTCTCATGGATCGAGTTCACCCCACCACAACTCACCGGTATTTTATGACTTGCTGAACTAAGGGCGGCTATGATCCTTTGTCACGTCCCCTCATGGCCCTACGCAAGAGCCAGCAACATTGGCATCATCATCGTTTCCTTTGACCTGCACATATCAAGAATCAAGAAGAGAGTTGGATAAACATGCAATAACAAAGTATGTAATACAGACATTGATGAGTGGATCCCAAGGACGCGCGTTTTGACTGCGCATGGCCAGTGTTTTATGCATTTTGGCATGTCGGCGGAATGGCCGACTGGCTGACGAGATTTGTTTCCAAAACACAAAACCCTAAATCCTAAACCCTAAAACCTAAATCTGACATGAAACCCCAAGTAAGCCTTGAAAGTAAAATCTTACTAAAACCGTGGTAAAAACTCTAAAACACCCTATTCAATGAAAACCTAAACAAACCTTTTTCACAAACTCCAAACAAAGCCTAAAGAGTTGGTGACATGATAAACCGACATGGGCGGCCTCGGGGTGCCAGCTATGAGTCGGCTATGAGCCTCCAAGTTCACCACCGGCAAACCTCAGCACCAAATCTCCACACAAAGTGTGGCAACCGAGTGAAAAGATGTAGCTGGGACAGTTAAACAATCAAAATCAAAAACGTTCAAAAGCTAAACTTGATATCATTGAATAATATTGAATATAACTTGATGGAATTTGCCTGCCACGATTGTTGCTTGCCCCACAAATTGAAACCACCCAATTCCAGCCATGATCTACAGTGCCTTTGGGCTCCAGGCTGGTGTACTGCAGCTTTCAGCTCCGTCAACATCCTGACCATGGAAGAACATGGATTCAGCAAATTACTGGGTTGAGCTCCAATTCGCGGTTACAGCCTCTCAATGGTTTTTCACAATCACAATCAAGTGGAAGCATCTACAAACATGTACCAAGTACAACAACCGAAGTCCTGCAACCTGTTTTCTGATCCAATAAATTCTATGCTGGCCAAGAGTTTCAGGATGTGCCTTGCCAGGTCCACCACATCATGCTCAAGGCCCTGATTGTCCACTCGCAATCGCTGGCATTCCTTCCAACAAATCATTGCACTTTCGACGACTTTTCCACTACTCAATAGATTTAGTAACTTAGTAACTCCATGAAAGACCTGGAGAAGATTGATGCAAACATATTTAACATTATATGTATATATACATTTTAATATATTTATGTATACCCTAATCCTCAAAGGACCTCGAAATGAAGGCCTTTCATGAGGACCTCCCATTTGAGCAAAGGACCTGAAAGGACCTGAAAGGACCTGAAAGGACCTGAAAGGACCTGAAAGGACCTCCCATGTGAATCATAGGCTTTCTGCAGGATGCTGAGGCCGTTTCTGCTTGACACTGAAGGGTCAGCACACACACAGGATAGAATAGTTTCATTCAAGATGATAGCTAGAAATGAAAACACCATAGAAGAGCTATGGCAAACTGAATAAGGTTGCCACAAAATGAT